CCTCCAGCTCCAGTGGGCCAGGAGTAAGAGGCAGAGCTGAATCTCAAGGTCGAGGGGCCTTCACCCAGCCCCTAGAGCTGGCACTTTGATTTGGACTTCTAGCCTCCTACACTGTAAGAGGATACACCCCTGTTTGATACGGCCATCCACCTGTGGTTTGTCTGTTTCAGCAGCACCAGAAAACCAAGGCGGGACCCATCCTCTTCCCTCAGCCGGGAACCCCCCACCCTGGCCTGACACAAAGTATGTGCAAACATTTCCCCTGAGGAAGTTCTAGAACACTCAATCACACTTGGCCCAAACTTCCACCCAGGGTCGCCTGCTCCAGTACTCTCCTGTGCACTACTTGTAGCCCCTGCTGGAGGCACACTCACGAGCCCAGGTACCTGTGAGAGCACAATGTGGGGCTACGTCAGAACAGACCCCTGAGCAGAGCCTGGGGTCCTCACGTGTCACCCCAGCCAGAGTACTGTTGGAAGGGACACTGGTCACTTCCTAGGGCCTGTGATTTTCCTGCTGGGGGCTCTCCCAAGGTGACCAGGTCCTCCATCTGACACCTACCAGCTGGCCATAGGACCCCAAGTGCCCCCAGCCCATGCCAGTCACTGTCTCATGTTGGGGCATCTCTGCCCTGGCATAGAGCAGGCACTCTGAGTGGCGGGGACCCAGGGTGACACGACCTGTTCAGAACTGTGGGATTCCGAGTCTGCCAGCAGCCTCCCTGGGTAGCTCTCTCTGCCTCTGTAAGGCAGGGCCACAAGGGGGGGCAAGCACAACTTGCTCTCTTCCTTCTCACGGGTGAGCACAACCCTGCTCCTTCCACAGGACTACTTTGAGCCAACGGGGCCAAGGACCTGCAGGACAACACATAACCGTTTCCACTCACAGGCACACCTGGACAAGGATGGCATGGAGGACAGATACATCAGTAAGTGGGGTCCATGCTGCACCCTCCAAGTAGTCACCCTGACTCACCCAGCCGCATCCTGCTAGCTCTAAAACAGCTTTGGGGATAATAGCCCAAAGGAAACCCAGAGTCCCTGGCCCCACCCTCACGCTCACCTCCAAGTCCAAGCCCCGGACACACCAACCTGAGTGCCCATCCATATCCCCACCCCCACAGCCACACCCTCCAGGAAGCATCCTCCTCCCCCTCTGGTTTCCCACTATCCAGGGAGGCCCCAGAGGCTCTGGCCCCAATCAGGTGACAGCTCAGGGAGGCCTTCAGTGCCCTGCCCACCCTCTGTTCCAGAGGCCACTGTCTTGGCCATCATTGAGTCCCTGAAGAAGCCAGACGAACCTGCTTCCTCGTCACAAAGGAGGCCACAGGTGCATGGCAAAGAACGGAGGCTGGAACCTGAATCAGGAAGGGGACAAGGTGACTCATGCCAGGTGAAAACAGCCCAGGGGTGCCGCCTCTTCCTCAGCTTTCCTCAGGGGACCCCCAACCCAAGGAGCAAGACCCTCCTGCCAGGAAGAGGGGCTGGAAAGCACCAGGAGATGAGGACTCGGCCCAAAGCTTAGAATGAAGAAGGGACTCCCCATCTCCAAGTCAGATGGGACACGAGACTTCTCAGAGTCTGGGGCTAGAGGCCTGGTGAAGAGCAGGGGCTGAACGGGAGCCCGGGGGCAGATGCAGACCTCAGGCACACACTTCACGTTCTCAAGGGAAGCATGTCATGGAGGAGGAAACAGAGAGGTCCCCCAGCAGGGAAGAGGCTGAGCTGGAATCTAAGCCTGCTTTTGGGCAGGAAAGGAGCGTGGGTGGTGCAAAGTGGCCTGCAATCGCTGCTAACCTAAAAGCTGACGATTTAAACCCACCCAACAGTGACACGGAAGAAAGGCCTGGCAATCTGCTCCATAAAGATCACAGCAAGAAAACTGTGAGGTAGCTCTACTCTGTAGCATGTGGGGTGGATCTGGTTTTGGTTTCTGTGCAGGGGGGGAGACCTCTTACCAGAAGGTAGCAAGCAGCCTCCCCCGACAACTGGGAACAAAGAGGACTGCTGAGCCTCATCAGCAGTCAGGGAAAGGAAAACACAAGTGAACTGGGGAAGGGGTACAGTGGCATTTTCTCCCATGACAGACATCACCAAGTGGAACCCCAGAAATGATCCTTTGGGGGAACTGACTGGCCATTTGTCATGCACAAAGAAATCAAAACCCTAACTTGCAGGGGTAGAACACCCAGAGAGGGGAAACTAATGCTGCAAGTTCAGGAGGCTAGAGGCCAGTCGGGACTCCTGGGGAGTCAGGAGGTCAGGGCTTCAGGGAGGGGACCTGCTCTGTGAGAGTGGCGGCGCATCTGACCTCCTCTAACTTCCCAAGGGCGAGAAGCAGCAGCAGCAGCCCACAGCTGATTCCTATGAATCATGCCTCCTCCCTCCAACCTTTTTACCAATTCTGACACGAGCCGTCCCTCCCAAGGCACTTTCTACTCCTCAGCTGGGTTGTATAGTTCGTTGCAGTGGCCATACAGGATTCATAGACCATACACCATGCCTACAGTTAAGAGGTTTATTAAGGAAGCAGCAGGCTACGACTCGGGGTCAGGAGCAGGAAGCCTGCAGGCCGTGTGGAAGGCTCCCCGACGTGGGGTGCACGTCTGTCCCTCTTGAGGTGCCAGGACCTCACTCAGCTCCCCTCTTCGCCCTCAGCCCCTGGCTCCACTTGAGCCTGGCCTCTGCCTGCTAGGGCAAGTGTTACAAAGCTCTTTGGGTCTACCCTAAGTACTCAGAGGCACACCACCAGGAAGCCTCCTGCCCAAAGGTGCTCAGCTCTCTGGCTCCCGGGACCACCTCAAGCCAGGCTCCTGGTACTGCTGCTGCCCTCTGTCTGCCACTGTTCCTCACTGTCTCTGGAGTTACAGCTCTGTCTCCTTGGTCAAGGAGGTTCTCAGCATGGGGACCCCCAGGTCCAAAGGACACGTTCCACTCCTAGCTCTTCTTTCTTGGTAGCAGTGAGGTCCTCTCTGCTCTGGGACTGGCTCTTTTTAACCCTATCTCTTAGAATGGGCAAAACTGCCCAGTGCCTTCACTAGGGTTTCATGCAGCCATCTGTGTGATCCCACACCTCAGGGGTTCTAGGTACAGCAACTCTATTACCAGCAATGTCATCCAAACCTCTTGGTAGTCCACAAGCCTGTTAACACACAGTCCCACTCAATCACCACGTAGGAGTCATGCGTGGCTAGAAGGGCCATATTAAGTAAATCACTGACTGCATGCTGTCAGTTTGCTCAAATGGTGAAGAGCTGGGACGCAGGGGCTCTTTCTAGAACACCACACGCAGTGGTCTCATATAGCACCAATGAGTGCACAGGCAAAGCTAAGAGAATGCATCTTAACGTGCACTAAAGAAGGGTAGTCAGGTGTTGCTGCTTCCAGGAAGCCCTCCAAGCCCACTGGCTTCTCTACCAACTCCCCAGCCCCCGCCAGAGCTGGCAGTGTGCCCCAGGCCACCTGAGAACTTATGTCTGTGAGGACATCTGGTTCCCTCCTCACCGACAGGTTCTGGAGAGCAAGGCCAACACTTGTGCAGCTCTGAATCCCCACACCTGGCCCAGCAAAGATGGGGGACACCAAGTGTGGAAGCACACAACGAACGTGCACGTGCGACTGGCTGCAAACAAGGGGCAGCAGGTGCCACTGGTCCAAGCAAATTTATGGGAGAATTTAGGAAAATTCTACCCACCCCAGCAAAGAGGAAAAACAGACTATGACTTAAACCTAGCAAGAGAGATTCTCTTTTGAAGTAAGAAGGTTCTGTGCTGAGAATCACGGTCCAATGGGGCAAGTAAATCACAGTCTTTGAAACTGAGGCTGAACAAGGAATCCTAAAAACCAAAAACCAAACACCAAACTCACTGCCCTAGAGTTGGGTCTGGCTCATAGAGACCCCTCCTTGGGTTTCCAAGGCGGTATCTCTATGGAAATAGATTCCCCAACCTTCCTTCCAAGGAGCAGCTAGTGGGTTTGAACCTACAACCTTCCGGTTAGTTGTCAAATGCTTTAGGTGCTATGCCACCAGAACTCCTAATGAGAAACCTAGGGTATGAGAAATCCGGTGAGAGTCAAGTGGGAGAAACAGGGACAGAGGTCATGTGTGGGAGCCTGTAGGCCACCTGTGGTCACCGTGACAGCCTCACTTTCTCTCCGGACATAGGACCCTCGACTTATTCCACTCTCCATTCCTTTCTCTGCCATGTCTCTCTTGTCCTCCAATCTAAACCCTCACTATTCTTAATGTCTCAGCTCAAATCCCACACTACCTACAAAAGGTACTGCCTGAGCCGAGGCTGCCCTCAAAAAACTCAGCCACGACATTGGTGATCACCACCATGACAGGATCTGCAGCCCATTAGTATTCTCCGTCCAACAAGCAGAGAGGTTCCTTCCCCTTCAAGTAGGTTTTGAATTACTCCCTGTCTGGTCGCGTCTGACATACACATAGTCGGTGCACCTAAGCCCCTCCTGACTCAACTAGCGGAGAGGGTGTGGATGCGAAGAGAGGCGCCGCTGGGAAAAGTCGCAAGGAAATAAACAAGCACTGCCAGCCACTGTGATTCACTGGCCCACATGAGGTTGGGGGAGCAGCGGGAATGGATCGTTCCCCGAGGAGCTCGAGCGCTAACAAGGGCAGGAGCAGCAGCGCTGAGCCTGCCAACTCTTGTCAACCACGCTCACTCAGGTCCCAAGTCCCCGTCTTTGTGTCGGGTCCAGTGCTCAGCAGTGGGCCTGCGTTACCTCGCCCCACCGTCACGACAGCCCCAGGAGGGCAGGCCCTCTCATTGTTTACATTCTACATTATTAATACTGAGGTTCAGCGACTTGCACCGAATCCCAGGGTGGGTGGTACTGGTCCCGTATAAGGGGATCGTCGCCCCTGAACGATTGGGAAGGGGGCTGGGCTCGGCACGGGGATCCCAAGCAGCCCCGGCAGTGCAATTCAGACCTCAGCCGGAGCGCCGAGTCCGGGGTGGGCAGGGAGGCGGGCATTACCTGCTGTGGGGGGTGCCGCTCCGCCGCCGCTGGGCGCTCCGGGGACCCGGGCCCCGCGGTGCCGGAAGTGGCAGTAGGGTCGCCGGCAGGGACCCCCGGGTGCCCCATCCAGATAAGGGCAGTCGATGGCCCGGAAGAAGCCAGTGGAACGTAGCATGGTCCGTCCCGCGGCGGGCCCGCCGCTCCGGGTGCCGGCGGCCGCTTCGCGTCCCCGCACTGCTGCGGCTGCACGCGGTTCGAGTTCACCATCGCGCTCACTGGCGCCCGGCGCGCCTTTGCGCTGCGCCGCGGTCGCCGCCGCCCGCGGCAGGAGCCATGTTCTTTTCTTCCCGGACCCGCCACCTCCTGCTCCCCGCCCCCGACCGCCTCGCATTCCCGCGGCCCTCGCCCGCCCCCTTGTCCCGCCTCTCCTCGCCTCGCCTGGCCTCGCCTAGAGGCCGAGGCGCGCTGCGGGGGGAGAGGCGAGGGGGCCGCCCCCACTGCCGGCGCGCGCCGCGAGCGGAGCCCCAGCCCACGTTCCAAGTGGACTTGAAGCCCGGGCGCAGGCGCCCGCATTCCATTCGGATGGAAGGGCTGAAAAGGAAGTCACTGACCCGCCCGCCCGACCGACTGCGAGGAAAGGGCTCCTGGAGTTATCATTGTCTGCCTGTCTGAGATAATGTGTGGGTTTCCCATTAACCACTAACCACTTCTGCCTCGATTTTCCAAAGTGCTGAACGAAAACGGAAACCCTTTGTGGGATGATGTGAATTAGCGAAATTCAGTCGGAGCTGAAGTCTCCAGCACAGACAAAGGAATCTTTCCCTCATTTGGAAACTACTACGCTGACTTCTTTGCTTCCATCAGCCCTCCACTCCCTATTTGGCTGCGTTTTGAATCGGTTCTTTAGTTTGGGGTTGGTTCCTCTCCCCCTACTTGTTTGGGATCCCAAGGATTGAGCCTTGGCCTCCCAGATCTGCTGATGCTCCCAGCCTGACCTCATTTTCTTCCCTGGCCAGCACTGGCCTCTGAGTAATGGAATCCTACATCAGACCCCAGGTCCAGAACTTTATTTCCATTTTACAGACACATCCAACCTCATGTTCTTCAGTTATCTCAAACTTAACCTGTCTAAACTAAACTTACTATCTTTTCGCTCTTCTTTTGAACCTGCTTCACCTCCTGTAACCCCAACTGAATAGTCAAGGTTGATGGCATCACTGTGCTCCTCACTTCCCAGGAAACAGTGTCTTCTCTTCTGTCCTCACCTCATGGTCATCAAATCGTTTGCCCCACAAATGTGTCTCAATAAGATCTCTGTTTCTTATTCCTGTTGTCAGGATTTGGTCCAGGGCCTTAACGTATATCTTATTTATTTATTTATTCCACATTACGGCAACCAAACCAAAACCAAACTCATTGCCATAGAGTCGATTCAGACTCATAGCGACCCCTCCTTGGGTTTCCCAGACAGCATCTCTGTGGAAGTAGATTGCCCAGCTTCCTTCCAAGGAGTGGCTGGTGTGTTTGA